GGCCAAAGTAATTATTTTTGTGTTGCTGACACAGGCTCTGGGGCAGCACGAAATGTTTTTCTTTATTATAAATTTGCTGGTCCAGAATGGCTGATCACTTATTAAAAATTATACATGGGGCAAGTAGAATTCAAGCCAAACAGGTTTACGTTTTCATGTAGGACCGGAGAATGGGTGTTCACCACAAAGTGAAGAATTTATCAAGGAATCTGGGAGAGAAATATTTTCACCCTTGGAACTTTAAAAGCCTTTTTAACATCCTGCTTCCCTTTTCATTGTGTCGGAGCAACAGGTCAGGTATTGCCTAAGGCAGTCTTACAAATTGGCACCTGCCTTTGTGCCTAAGACCCAAAGGAAGTGGTGAGGAAAAGGAGGCCAGGGAAATTTAATAAGTCTGTGCCTTTTTCTCCAACCTTTGCAAAGTTAGCTTTCCTTGGGAATTAGGCTTTGATGCCTGGGGTGCAAGAGAGAATTATTTGCTGCAGGGAGACACCTGAGCAGGTGCCAGACTGGGAAGCAATGCAGGTGTTGGGAGAGGCAGAGAGACAGCCCTCCTGGTCACATTTGTCCCTTAACATTTGTATTTCAGTGGATACTTTACACAGTTATTACCTCATTTATGCCTAAAGCTCCGATCTCCCCACTCTCCTGAGGAAGGTAGGCTTTGGTGTTTTTGACAGGTGAGAAAGGTTCAGAGCTTGATTTCTCCTGGTGCTCATCACGTGGCTGTGCAGTGACAGAGGGGACGATCCACCAGGTATTCTTCATACCTCAGTAGATGGAAACTTACATTGTTAAAGGTTCTAACTTGCTGGCAAGGCTGTCCTGCCTCTGGGGGACAGGGATAGTGGCTGGTCCAAAAATTCTTTCTTCCTTGACTTTTCCATTTCTTCCTTTTTCTCAGATCATCAGAAATGAAAGATCTCTTACATATCCTACTGTATTATTCCATTTCTGTTGCTTATAACAACATACCTGGAACTGAGTGATTTATAATAAAACAAAATTTATTGCTTACAATTTCACAGGCTAGGAAGTCCAAAGTCCAGTGAACACATCTGGTGAGGGCTTTCTTTGGTGGTGACTTCAGTGACACAGGGGTATCACATTGCAAAATGGCTGAGCAGAGAGAGAGACGGACTCTTCGTGCTCTCCTTTTAAAGCCCTCCAAACCACACCCATGACCATTTTAATCCATTCTTTATGGCATGGTCCTATTATCTAATCACCTCTTCAAGGCCCCACCTTTCAATTACCATAATAGGATTTCCCACCCTCTTAACAGTCACAGCGGGGGCTAAGTTTCTAATATATAAAGTTTGGGGGCACAATTCACGCTTCAGTGAGTTTTGGGGAGACATAATTCAATCCACTGCACCTAAGATTTGCTCTAGTTTGCATACATTGTTTGACCACGTTGATGCCTGGTAGGAAAAATACAGCATATTCCTAGCCATTTTCCCTTTAGTATTGTACTCTGCAGCTCCACCTTTTCCTCAGGGTTGTTCTTTTTTGTTTGTTTTTCCATCAAGCCATTTTTCTTCTCAGCCATCTAGAGTTATTTTCCAACATCTCTTGAAGTGTATCACACCTCTTACTGGGCACCTCTGCTCACAGAGATACATGCTTTACGGGCATGATTTCAGGAAAGGAAGGAGAGGCTCTCATGTTGGAATGTCAGCAGTTCCTTCTTGGGAAAACCCAGCTGTTTCTTTTTGTTTCTCAGGAATGTTTCTAATTTCAGGTCGTGCCTTCCCAAGGCCTCCCGATCATACTGAAGCCACATAGCATGCGACAGGCTAATCTGTGTGTGTGTCTCTTTTTCTCTCTCTCACTCTCTCCCCACTTTAATATTCCAGTACAGAATTATTTACTATTTCCTCCTAGGTTTTGTTGTATCCCCAACAAATAGTATATCTTTGTCTGAAAAGCTAAAACCTTGGTTTCGGTTTCTAATATATTTTTCCAGGAAATGAGTTAGTGTCCTTGCGGAAACCTGACAATATATCCTAAAGCCTCTTATTTCTTTTTAGTTGTGGCTTTTTCTATGATAATTTGCAAAGCAAAATCATCAGGAACATGTCTAAGCCCCAACTGACTACCAGAGATTTTGCTGAGTGTTTTATGAATTAAATCAGATGTAGGTCCTGGCTCCTGGTTGCTTATAATCTAAAATAGGTAACACTGACATATGCAGATATATAGGTATGAAGAAAACTCAGAAAAGTATTGAGAAAGTGTAGACAATGTGGAGCCATGTGGAATCCGCTCCCTGTTTATCTTCTAGCTAAAAGATCCTCAGTGGAAAGGGTGATATTTGAGGTTTAATGAATGGAGAGGTGGTATTTAAGATGTCGATGTTCCCAGCTTAGCAATCTTCAAAGAAGATGAAGAGTGATAGGTGTACCTTGATTGATCAGACGAATGGGGCATTGAATAGCTTTACCTGAGAGGCATCAGGCTTACCAGAGAGAGGAAACTGGGAAAGTGAAGTTATGACAAAGCTTTCACAAGGGTGAAAATATGGGGCCAAATCCACAGGACAGCCAAGACCAAAGATGGTGGTAGAGTTTTTGAAACAACGAAAAGAAAAGGAATTTAGGCAACATGGAATGAAGGAGATATTAGATCGTATCTGGCAAAACAAACAACAGAGAAAACCATACACCATGAATTTAAGGAGAAAAGGCATAACCCAGAACCACTCAAGCATGGTCTCAGCAATGGAATGGTTGTTAATATTTCTATTGATGGAAATGCTCTAAAACACTTGCAGAACTTGCAGTAGTTATCTCTGGCTAGAAAATTATAAGCAATTCAAATTTTTAATACTTTTCTGTATTTTCTGTGATAGACACTTAATATTTTATAATCGGGAAAAACTTGAAAGGGAAAGTATTACTAACAAAAAAATGAGGAGGGCACAGATTGGGAGATGTGGTTAAAGGTAAAACTAATAGATATAGTAAAAAGCAAAATTTGTGAGAAAGAGAATTATACCAGCCTAAAAATAATGACTCAAAAAAATAAATTACTCCTAAGTGATTTTAGAAAGTCAGTAATATGGTGATGTTTTTACTAAATTGAGGGAGCCAAACATGCAGATTTAACTGGTCTTCATTTGAGTTGGTTATTTGGTATCTAATTTGAATATCTCCTGTACAGAGTCTACATGTGGACGATTAACTAGCCGAACTTACAGGAATGCTTGGAGGCAAGAAGGGAAAAGGAAGAGAAAACAGAAACTAAAGGGTGGTCATGTTACCCTTACACAGTAACTGCCTGAGTTATATCTTTTTAAAAATCATAAAGAAAGATTTTGATGCTACACACGAATATCGATATTATACTGTACTTTTTCCCCTTGAAAAAGCTAGGGGGAGGTGGAAAAAACCCAGTCCTGAGTTTTGGACCTGTCTCTGGAGCTACCTCCATGATGTTCTCATTGGCATGGCCCTCAGTAACTGCGCAATCGAAGCATGACAGTCTGGGTGGTAGTTTGCACATGTATAAAATGAGGAGCTTGTGTGTGGTGTATATTGTGATTCTTAATTTCAATCAGACATTTAACAGTTTGGGGGTAGACAAGATACAGGGTAATGGGCACTACTCAAGGTGGATCCGTTCTTTCCTGAATACCTGTAGGCAGAGTGAACAGAGGCGTGCTTACCACGTCCAAGAGTGAGTTGACTGGGAACAGCCAACGTGACAGAGTCCAGATTCCAAGCATTCGTTCCGGTTGGAAGGATGAGCCAAAGTAGGATGACATTTAACAGGATTCATCAGAAAATCCTGCTTATATTACTTGTGTAAGGCAACTAATTAAGTTACAGTAGACCTGGGTGAGTAGCAGTTCATATGAAAAAGACTCAAGGCCTTTATTACCCACAAGCTCAGTTTGAGTCTGGAGTGAAATGTGGGTGTCCGAAAAACAAAGGCTGCAGTGATAAATGTGTGGTGTTGAAGTACTGACAGATCGGAGCCTAGCATCAGACAAAAGCAGCCAAGACCCAGCATTGCTAGACCTCAGGAAAGGTCATGGATGTGGCTAGATCTGTTGAATCTGGATGGATTTATTATTTTCTTTTGAGAATCTCTATATTTGATGGAAATTTCTAGGGATTAGAAATCTGTGAAAGGAATGATATTAAATCATTAAGTGTTGAAAAGGGGTGATTTTCTTCCCATTCGGCCTACCCAAAACACAATGTATGTGTTGTGGTTTTCGTTATAATATTATATTTCTGGGCACTCATCGATTCCCAGTGCCTCTGCATGGCACTATTTTGGCACTAGAAATTATTTGGTGAAGACTTTGCTCTACGAGATAATTGTTCTACACACAGCTCCTAAATGTGTTTGAATTATTGTGAATATTTTAAGGCTTTAGAGCAGACATTTATCAATGTTTCATAAACCCTGGGTTGTGGGTAAGTATGTGAATAAATTAGGGGGATCCATGAACCCCCTGAAGAGATATATAATTTTTATGTATGTGTAATTTTTTCTGGGAAAGAGTCCAACACTTTTATCAGATTCTCAAATAATGCAAAAAACAAACCCCTTGTCCTTTCACATATATAATTTGTCTACTTCCTAGTGTGTAAACAAAGAGGCATCTTGATTGTTGCTGCCCATCTTCTGTTGAGAGCAGAGACCAAATCTTCCTTGAAATGACAGTGACTTGCCAGCAGTAGGGATTTAAAAGGATGTCACAGGCAGAGTTCCAAAAATGTTTTAAACAAAATCTTAGCACAGAATAAATGAGACTTCCCCTTTTCCTTCCTTATACTACACAATAAAACTAATTTTCTTTTAAAAGACAAAATTCAGATTTATTACTTACAGAATTTGGGTTTCTTTCTGTTCCCCTTTCAACTTGTGAGTACAAATTTGGTCTTCTCCAGGAATATTTTGTTCTGAGGTGAGTTCCAAAGAAGCTTGATCTTCTCAATGGGATATGTGTTTCATGTGGTTTTTCTTCCTTTGCGAATTTGCAGGGCGCCAAAGCATGCTTTCTGCGGGACATTCCTTTCTCAGCCATCTACTTCCCGTGCTATGCTCATGTGAAGGCTTCCTTGGCAAATGAAGACGGGCAAGTTGGCCCAGGAAGCCTCCTCTTAGCTGGTGCCATAGCTGGTGAGTGTCCCTCATGGAGTTCTGTTACTTGCCCAACAGCCATCCCTGATTCCCACCCGCCCACCACTTCCACCCCATACTACAGCACGGGAACTTTTTGTGATAGTTCTGGACAGAGTTCATACAGGCTGGCTCTCGTTTGCTTTAAATTGCTACTCAGAAAAAAGGAATGATATTAATCTTAATTCTGGCAGAGTAGATTATTAGACAGGCTTAATTTCTAAACTCTAGAAATGGTTTATTAAATATTGCGTCATTTTATAGTGTTGTTGGATTCCAATTCAAGTTCTATATCATTTCATAGTTTCACTTCATAGCATAAGAATGAGAATTGTTCAGCCAGAAGTTTTTTAAATTTTAGATACTTGTGTCTTAAAAGTGTCTAAACAAAACAGTGCATAAAAGCTTGTCCAGAACTTAAGCAATAACTATTACCAATAAGATAAAAGAAATGTAGTAGAACCAGAAACAACTTGGACCCATTACAGACACCTATTTTCTCCCAGTTATGTAAGGTTATAGGAACTGGTGTGTGTTAATTGAATTACAGATAGAAAGAACTGTCTTCTTTTTTCGGTGTTACAGTGAAAATATCAACAGAAAAAAATAGATATCAATTTCTGCTTTGATCCAGAGACTCTAAAGGCTGGAACAATCTGGGTTAGCTCTCTAGGTAGTAACAAACATTTACAGTGAACAAACCCTAAGGCAGTCATGGGATGATGTCTGGGCCTAAATATTTTTGATGCAGGTGTGCTATTCCTGAGATACATGACTAGAGTCTCTGGGCTGTTCTCCAAGACAACTAATGTCCTGGGAGGAAGCAGGGAAGCCAGCTGCTGACTGTAGGGCTGGCATTCTCAACCACAGAGCATTCAACGTGGAGAAGGGCAAGAAGACGTTTGTTGAGAAGGGTGCCCAGTGTGACGCCCTCAAGAAGACCTGTGAGTGCAAAAGCACACCAAACCTGTATGGGCTGTTGGGTAGAAGATGGATCAGGCCCCCACATTGCCTTTGTGGATACCAGTAAGAACAAAGGCATCTCCTAGAGAGAAGACACACAGTGTGTGTGTAGAATCTCAGGAAGTATATCACAGGGCAGAAGTGATCTTTGTTGTCATTAAGGAGAAAAAAAGCTTATCTCAAAATATAAAAATCCTACTACTCTTAATGGAACTTCAGGCAACTACAATGAATAGTAAGTTGTTAGCCACTAATTAATTTATTATAAAACAGAAATGTCTCATGACTATTTCTGTATGTGTGAGGATACTTCAAAAGATTCCTGGAAAAATAGAATTAAAAAATAATATGAATCTTTCCATGAACTTTTTAAAGTACCCACAGAGTGATGATCTGTCATACCAGATAATTTTTACTTGACAGCAATAAGATATTGAAACAAGTCAAACTTTAGTGAAGGTCTTGCCTTAGAATTAGTCAGCTTAGATTAAGTTGTAATTCAGGAATATCTTTAAAAGCTATTCCGTATACAGATATGTATATATTCGTATGTGTGTGACTGATCATGGTGCTTTTGCAAACATATCAGAAGGGTTAAATTAGGAGAGAAGACCTCGGCACAAATTTGTTAATTATGTGGACATAAAGTTTAGCACGATTTAAATACAATTCTTAGATTAAAAAAAAAAAAGTAATGGAGTGATTGGATCAAGGTAGTAGACTAAGCGTATTTATTCATCTCTCTTTCCTCCCAAATACCTTAAAATGCCAGAAAATACATTTTAAAAATTCTTTATTGGCACTAGAAAATATTAGCACCAGTCCTCAGCAGACAGAAAACAGAGCCATACTGACTCTGAAAATTAAACTACAAGATGCCACATCCCGAAACACTGGCAGGAAAAACCACTTCTGATGGAAAGCCGAGCCGGAGAATTTTTAAACTCTGAGTGGACGATAGAGTGCCTAGAGTGGAGGTGGAGGTCTTAGGGTGAGTCAGTGACATGAGTTAGAGGGCACAGTTACTGCAGGGTGGGCACGCGTGGCCCTCCCTTTCCTGATTTTGCATCTGGAGCTTCAGACAACACTGGTCTCCACGTTCAAGGCTCGGGGACCACTAGCTTGGAGAGGGCAAGTATAAGGGACTGAAGAAAGTGGGCAGGGGTTAAGGTAATTCCAGACCTTTATCACAGATGTAGGAAAGAATAAGTGAACAGCAGCTCTTCCCAAGAGGAGTATAAATAAATTCTTCTACTTTAAAGCAGAGCTCTCCCCATTTCAGCAGTTTGGGAAGTCCTCACCCTGCCAGCCTACCTTAGTTCCTTGCACCCACTTAATAGGATTCTCCCATCTCACAAAGCCCATAGACAGCCCTCCCCTTCAGGAGCAAGACCTGTGGGTGAAACAGACCTAGGGTGTGGGAGAAGCCACTCACTTTTGCGGATAATATACTAATCAGCCTGTCCTTTGAACTTGAGTATCAGTAGACAGCCGAAGTCCTCAGACATGAAGGAGCAACAAGGTTAAGTGAACAGAGGAATTACACAGAAAACAGGCAATTCGGGGAACAGACAAGAACTTGTAAGAACCATAATTAGAGTCTTCGGAAAGATTTGAAAGGAATAATCAGTAAGGAAGCTTTCTTGAAAATTAGAGGATTGCCAAAATGAAAAATCTAGAAATGGTTCTAAATGATAGAATGGATATGATCAAAGACCAAGTTAGACATCTGGAAAACAAAGTCATGGAAAACTCTAGAATGTGGACCAAAAATACAGCAATGGAAAATAAGAGAAAATTTCATAGACATGTAGGATTAATCTGGGAGGTCTAACATTTCTTTAAAAGGAGTTTCCTAGGGAGAAGTAGTAAGGAAACAAAGACAGAAAGCAAATCAGTAATAGAAGGTTGACTTTTCATCTGCAGTACTAGACACCTTCAAAATGCAAGGAGAGGATGTCATGAACCATGATGACGGTCCTAGGCACACTAGCATTCAAGAGGGCGGGCGAAACAAATTCCTCACATGCAAGGACTCAAAGTAGCCCCTCACAGACCTTCTCTGAAGCAAAATGAAAAGTGAATTTGAGAAAGAGGAAAATGTGGCATATATGAAATAAAGCAAATAAAAGTTAAACCTGTGAGTAGGTTTAAATTATTCATTGCTGACTTCAGTGTATGTATTTATTTATCTGTTGGGAGGCAGATAAAGGAAAGGAAAGACAAGAGTGAAAGTGCTATAGTCCTTACCTTGCTGGAGGAGGAGGCAATTGCTACTTATTGGTATACATTGTAAATGTACACATGTGATAAATGCATGTAATATTGAAGTAAATTTATTTAGTCTGGAAAAAGAGGAGATCAAAAGGGAAATAGCTAGGAGCAGAGAAAATAGAAAGCATCATACAGGACCGGAAAAATAAATCTAGTAGCCACAATAAATGTGAATGGTTTCAGTGCCCCTAGTAAAAACAAAAACTTCTAGATTTAGATGAGTTTTGGAAAAAAAAAAAAAAAAAACTAGTCATTTGAAGTTTGAGAAAACAGTAACATAGATTGAAAGAGAACAAATTGGTGCCGGCCCGGTGGCGCACTGGATAGTGCGCCGCTTGGGAAGCGCGGCGGCGCTCCCGCCCGAGGGTTCGGATCCCACATACAGACCGGTTCCCGCTCACTGGCTGAGCGAGGCGCGGGAGCAACACCGAGGGTTGCGATCCCGTTGCCGGTCCCGGTCCGGTACGGGGGCGACACTGAAGGTTGCGATCTGTTGCCGGACACGGAAAAAGACAAAAAAAAAAAAAAGAGAACAAATTGAAAAATACATACCAGGAGAATACCAGCAATAAACAAGTGTAGTAATATTAATGTCAGACTAAATGGAATCCAAGGTTTAAAAATATCATTCGGAAGCACAGAGGCATATTTTATACTTATAAAAGATAAAGTTCACTACAAAGATATTGTCATCAACCTCTATATAGTATCAATATAATATTGTCTTATAAAATCTTAGCTAAAAATATAAACTTTTTTTTCATACCTAATGAGAAACATTATTACACCGCTCTTAGAAGCTGATCTACCAAGTAGATGATAAGGATACAAAGGGGATTGGGAAAGCTTCTAGCCTTTATCCAAAATAAATATACATTAAACTTTATATTCAAAAAACAGAAAAGCACATTCTTTATAAATACAAATGGAATATTTGCTGGCCATGTTTTCTTCTTCTTGTAAGTGACCTACTACTCTCTAGTTGCTGGGTCCCCTTGACAACTTGTAATTGTTTTATTGTCTGAAAAGCACCCCAGATTGTTTCTGTCATGGAGGTGGTGGGTGGCCACAGGTCTCTACATTTGTCTCTTCATTGAAGGATCAGGGAGGCTGCTGGTCCCCTTCCTGCTGAGGAACCTAGAGGAAACCTCCCTGTTGTTTCCTGTCTCCTCTTGCTCCCCCATCTTTAGGAATAGAGAAAACTCAGACCACTTCATCAGTGTTGTCTTAGCCTTTTGGAAATTAGAAGAGACCAGGTAAATTTCCTAGGAGCTTTGCTAACGCTGGCCCCCAGAATCAACAGGTCTGGAGTGGCCAAGCTCTTTCCCATATTTGCTGCTTTCCTGGCCGTGCTTTGGAGCAGCCTGATGTGGTTCTCTAGGTTAATTTAGCAAATCCCCACTCCGCAGAGAGATCCACAATTCCTCCTAGGCCCTAGTGGATATCCGCTTAGGAGAGCTGGGAGCTGAGAGAGGCGTGGATGAGCATTGTGTTCAGGCTGCCGTATTTCCAGCATCCCTTACAACACCAGTCATCTTTGGCAGACAACTAAGTAGCTTATGTGTTTATTTTGGCATTTTTATTCCACTAATCAGTATCTTTCATCTCTGCTCCCCTCACGCCCCAATACTTCCCTCTGATTTCATAACAAGGAACTGTGTATGAAAACTATCCTAACCAAAGGAACCTTTTTGCCCATTTTATTGCTTGTATGTCTCTCATAGTCACACTCTGACATGCCTGCCCACCGTTGCAGGGAGGATTTTATTGCATGTGTAAAGCAGTCTGCCTTGCTAAACTCTTTCTAAACCAGGAAGTAAAACAAAATCAGTGGTGTGAACGCAGTGGGTTTCTAAGCATTTTTCATGTTTCCTTCCATTATGTTGGAGGATAAATTCCTGGCTCAAAGTTAAAATAATTCCTCCAAACTAATAGGAAATTCAGTATGACTTATCCAGTGAAGCATTGGATATAAAGTAAGCTTTTCACATGCAAAATTGCAAAGCATTTTATAAAAACTGTTACTTAAGATTAATGTTGGAGGATCTGAGTAAAGATGGAAGAGGAAAAGATACTGCTTTAGTAATATAAGTGCAAGCATGTAATATGCATATTTACCCCCCCCCACACACACACACTCACTCTCTCACAAACTCTGTAACTTTAAAGCTGTCTGTTAGAAGGATGAGATGTAGTTGTGAGCCAGACCATGTTGGTTTGGACAGAGATTCTAACAGAATTATTAAGCCTTAAAAAAAGCAAAGGAGATTTATGCATCTGCGTTTGACCAATTTGGTTTGGAATAGGTTCATAATGGAAAAGTAATAAAACCATAAGAGACAGTGTCTTCTGAGTACAGTCTCGCTTTTAAAAAATCTAAACATGAGCGAGCTGCTCCATTTTGGATAAAATGACTGTAGAAAAATTTCCCATTGGTAATTTGGGGAGGGTTTTTTTGTTGTTGTTGTTCCTTTTTCATTAATTATCAGCCAGTATAAATTTTCAACTTTCTTTCAAATATTTTTCTGGAGCTGTCAGTCTAAAGAAAAAGAAATCCTAACACACTGTCTTTGGGGCTCTCCCTCTCCCCCTCGTGCAACCCCCTCTCACATACACAATTTTTTTTTTTTTTTTTTTAACCTATCAGAGTAAAGTCTTTTTCTGGTAAAACTGGAGGGGTGAGGGTTTGGAGGGTCGGGGTAGGTGAATATGTAAGAGAAGGCACCTCCTGTGACTGCCAGCAGCCACAGAAAGCCATGCAGAGGAAACACATAACAAGCTTCACCTCTGAAAAATCGGACCTAATAACTTTGCAAGTTTTTTATTTCATCAGGAAAGGGAAAAAAAGCAAAACACTTTCTTCATTTGTTGTTAGCCACCTTAAGTAGTGTTATTGATAAATAATTCCTTAAAACTATTCAAGTGTTTAAGAACAGAAACATAACAACGGCTGGATGACTTGGGGTCAGGTGATGTAGGAGCAGCCAGCACTGCAGATGAATGGCTGTGCCTCCCAGAGAGGACAGCGAAATAGGCATTTTATTGCATTGCATTCTTAACTTTCCTTCCATGGCCAGCAGTTCAAAGCACAGTTATTTTTATATAGTGAGAATGTGACCAGACCGAGATGGTGTTGTGTCTTTCCTGCAGGTATGCCTGCGGCATCTTTAGTGACCCCTGCTGATGTTATCAAGACGAGATTACAGGTGGCTGCCCGGGCTGGCCAGACCACTTACAGCGGAGTGATAGACTGCTTTAAAAAGATCCTGCGGGAAGAAGGCCCGAAAGCTTTGTGGAAAGGAGCTGGTGGTATGGAAATAATTTGTTCTTAACTAACCCTTTGGTATCAGGTAAATTTTTTAAAAATCTAATTATATCTGTTATTTCCCTGTTTTTCAAAGCTCGTGTATTTCGATCCTCACCCCAATTTGGTGTAACTTTGCTGACTTATGAATTGCTACAGCAGTGGTTCTACATTGATTTTGGAGGAGTGTAAGTATCATGCTAAACCTGCTGCTAAATTCTGGCTGCTTCTCATACTCTGTTGCCGTTGAGAAAGGTTTATCAGTCTAGTCCCTATGATGAAATAGAAAAGATTTAGAAAAATATTGAAATCATGTGAACAAGGTCATTTCAAAAAGGAACATGCAACTGACTAGAATTCAACGGCTCCTTTATGTTGCATATTTTAAGTTTTTGAATGTTAATTTTTAATCAAGATTTTAAAAAAGCAATAAAACAAAAAAACTCAGATTTTTACTCTATTTTCTCTTCTTTTAGAAAACCCATGGGATCAGAGCCAGTTTCTAAATCCAGGATCACATTGCCTGCTCCGAATCCTGATCATGTTGGGGGCTACAAGCTGGCAGTTGCCACATTTGCAGGCATTGAAAACAAATTTGGACTTTACCTACCTCTCTTCAAGCCATCGGCATCTACCTCAAAAGTTGTCAGTGGAGGCCCGTAGCAGGACTGACCCCAGGATATTGGTGTCCATTTGTTGGTACTGCGGTGAAGAATGAATGCCCCATCTCGGAGTGAAGCAATGCTTCATTCCTTTTACATCCTTTTGTTTAAATTCAAGTCAAGGCTTTTTGTAAAGTACAGTCATTCATTTTCTGTGTGCTATCTTATGCATAATTATTCCTTGGGCCTCTATTCCACAAACTTTTCTGCATACCTGACATTTGCTGGGATTTGGTCAACACTAATGTGATTTGGTGGAAGGAACAAGTCTGAATAGATATTAGGGCCCCCCTGCTTGGACTAGGATCATAGTCCCATAGAGGCTACTAAAAGGCAATCATGTGCTTGGAGCAAAGTGTTTCATGTGTGTTTAAACTGGTAGGAAACCGGGTACATATTTATAAAAATAAAAAACACTGGAAGAAATGAAAAAAAAATTATCAGAAATAGCCAGCCTGGCTTCAAATTTTAAACATGCACAAATTCTGTCTCTGGATTATATTATGAAGCTTTTATGTGAAACATGTTTTTTTATAATGAAAACCACATTGGAGATGTTTAGTAATCATATTTTGTTACTGGTACCAAGACTACTAGGGAAAAGTCTTTGCACTTTAGGGAAGTGCTTTTGGCATTTTATTATATAGACAGAGAAACTGAGACACAACCCCTCTCCAGGAAGTGCTAATTTCGGATTGCTGCTCATGATATACATGTGCTGATTACTGCCTGTTTCAATAAACGCTGTAGAAAAACGCATGCCCCTGTTGCTGCTGCCTGCCCTAATCGCCTCCCCCATCACCCTGTGATGGGTGACCATTCGCTTTTAGAATTCACTTTATTTTGAATCATGTAAAACAAGTATATTCTAATATGTTTTTATTTAATTTGTGGTGCCTTGTATAATGGTCAGAGGCTCTTGTGTTTGTGAAGGTGGAAATAAACTTTTTAACGCTATTGAATTGTTTGGTCTCGTGCATGTCACATGGTGAATGACTACAATAATTGTCATTATTGGACTCTGTATGTTGTGTTTTGAGGGGATTTTATTCATATGGGCAGGGCTATATCCTCATGATAGCGTGTACCTTCATTTCATGGTTCAGAGTGAGTAAGAGAAATTACATTTAACCCTAGATAAGCAGAGAAACTAGCAAACTCACACTTCTGTTCTAGTCATCTCCAGCACTTTCGTCAGTTTCTTATCATGATGATTAAAGTAATATAAAGTTTCAGTGGAAGTTGGACATGAAAACAGGTATGAAATGACAATTGTGTTGGCAAATCTAATCTGACTCTTGCTAATACCAAAAGTATAGCTAGCACTATAATGATTTGGGGAAAGAAGCTAGTCCTGAACAGAATTTAGAGCTGTTCTTAGACTAAGATTATGCTCCCAAAGAGGCTACTGATTAACCTATTGGCAGTCCGCATGAACATTGTGAGTCTCCAAAGTTTCCCTCTGTAGGAGATGCCCATTTTTCAGTCTCTCTCTCTGTAGGTCAGTAGGTTGACATTCAAAGTTACGTATGGTTTAATACTGGAAAAAGAATCACCACTATTCATAAGTGTCTGATTGGTTTTTGTTTGTTTAGTAAAGAGCTTTGTTAACATCACCAGATGGCTCCTTCCGTGTCTGACAAAACCAAAAGAGAAATCCCTCCCCCGATTCAATGTGATAAATATCTATATTTTAATCTCAAAGACTGGTCACAAAACTCCAACCATGTTTTAGAAATGTGGTAGATGTTATAATAACAAAGCACTCCAGCTTTGGTCTTTTGAATGTGGAGAAAAGTCCCTGAGTCTCTGCATTCCTTTTCTTAACTTGCTTGAAATTTTATAGATCAAATTTTTATGGCAAAAACACTGACCCAAAAACCCATAACTGGTGCATGGCCCTGCCTGCGTCTTTAAGAGCTGTTGCATTGGATGGGAGGACATCCTGGTTCCAGCTTCACTTAGACTTTACCCATAACTGAGGGTGAATCTCTCTAGTAAATAAGAAACCAGAGGCCCCAGGAAGCCATTGGAGATAGGGCCACACGTCTGTGTTTCCTTAAAGTCTCTGACTTACTCTGTTCAGGGGTAGGCAGTGATTTGAGAGACTTCGAAGGAGGCCTAATTCCCATCTGAGTTCTGCTCAGTGGGTGGCATGACTGTGACATGCCTTGAATAGGATTGCAATCACCGTGCGGTGAAAGCCACTGTAAAATTTGTTCTGGGTTTCCCTTCTCCCTGAAGTGACAGCACAACATGTCGTCGGCAGTGGTGTGGCTGCTGTCATTCGCTGGTAGGTCGTTTCCCTCTGTAAGGCTGAGGAACTGAGGGCGCGTGACTCCCCCCCTTGCCTGCCCACACAGGGGGGCCAGCGGCCCCTGCTCTGCCCACCCCGGAGCCCTTCAGTTCTGCTCTTGGTTCACCTCGTGATAACTTGGGGGAAGGGAGTGGGAGAGAGGCCTGACTTTCGTAGCAGCCTTTTTTTTTTTTTTTTTTTCAAGGAAGGGAAAAAATGTGAAGCTGACCACAAAGCGAACACACTGATTCTTGGGTTCCAGTCGTGGCTGGGTTTCTTGAGGCTGGGTGGCACACTGTCGCCAGGCTCCTGCTACACCTCATAACCCACAACCATTTGTGGAGCTCCCTGGGGTCGCCTTAATCCCAGCAGCCAAGGTCGCACGGGGAAAATAAGAATTCTGGCACAGAAAGGAGTCATTTAAATGCTTATTGCATTTCAAGCTTCAGTTTTTACTTAGCCAAAATATTTACCGTTGCTGGAAAACAATGTTTAAAATTTTGTGCTTATATGTTATTTAATGGTGTGGCCTATGTAAACCTCAGGATGCTTACATTTTGACAGTCTTCTGGAAATGTTTAACAGCACATAACTCAGTGAGCCAGCGAGTGGGAAATAAAAACAGGAACAAATTGTGCTTGAAACTGTGACCTCCTCCGACTATGTCTTCAGTAGTATGCAAGTCACATTGGAATTCTTCAGGTAGAGGGAGGGAGATTCCAGTAACAGAATTGGTCAGTCCTGTCTTAAGGCCCCATTTATCAACCTTCTAGATAAAACCCTCCCTAAAAGTCATCATGTGCCTTTTACCACAGAAGCCATACTTGTGGGGACGAATTTGTATTCTTGCCACTGAGCAAAATCTCATTTTTAAATTCAGGGTAATCAGATGCTTTCAGGATGTGGATTTTTCCAACGATTTTTAAAAGACACGTTCCCTGGTCAGAACAGTGAAATGTTCTTTCCACTAATGGGACTGCCCACACAGGGGTGTGCGCCTTTTGTTTTACCTTTTGGGAATAACCCTCACCGAAAGTTCTGCTTTGGTGTCATGAAGATAGCAGGGAGTTCACTGCTTCATTTCGGTGTCTGAGATATCTAACAGTATTGTCACCTCTGCCTTTCAAAACAGTGGCAGTCTCCATTTGAAAGTCCAGATTGGGCTGCATGTGGGTACGGACCATATCTCTGATTCTCTGAGTAGGCTCTTAGTTATTATTTTGAAGGGTGGATGATTTTTTGAAAAATCTTTTTTCTCCAACAATCTCCATTATTATCATTTTTTTCCTTTTAAAAAAAATTTTTTTTTTATTTTACAGGACTTCTCTGCTGCTGGAGTTAAAAACCATAACTGAAAGCACTCCCAGTCTTATGCATTGATCACTTACTTTTAGAAGTCATAAATAAATCTTTTTATTAAGGCAAGTACAGCTCTTTAAAATTGGTTTGAATTAGTTGGTTACTTTGTGTCAGAAACTGTCACATAAACTATAAAATAAATTTAAATTCCCTGGTCATTGATAAAAATAAGGCTTTTAAAAAATCACATCCTTTGAGATGAGTGCTACATAAGGGTTGCAATGTATCATTAGAATAGTTTTTCTTATCAATAAATGTACAGTATTTTTGTTTACAGCTCATTCTTTCTGTTCCTCAAGCTTTCTCTTAGAAGCTGCTGGGACAACAGGAACTCTCTTTCAGAAGGGTTTGTTTTTAGCTAATGCATTAATTGACTCCAAAAAGAGTCCAAATGGAACAGTCTGCTTTCATCTGCAGGGGTAACCTAATAAAATAATGGTGTTTGCTTTTAGATTCCCGGCTGTTAAGGGGGTTTTGCTCAAGGCAAAACCACAGTCCCCTCAAATAACTTTAGAAGAAAAATTAAGAAGACACAGTAATTGTGCTCGTCTGAGGCTTGCTTCTCCTGGGTCACAGACACACCCCCAGCACACTGGTCTGGCCACCAAGGCTCTGATGCCTAACACTGCTTTAGACAGGGTCCTGGCCCTTCGGAGGTTGCTTCACTCTGCAGTGGAGTGGTTCTTAAAAGTATTTTAAAATTGACTCAAGCTCTTGGAACAGACTTGTGAAGCATGCTATAGTCTGTCCTGTTCGGTAGGGAGAGGGAAATACAGCACAATGAAAAAAGACTTGTTAGAACATTCTTCCATATCTCCCATCACCCCCGTCCCTCATCCCTAGCTACTTATCCCAGCTGTTGTTCTGGTCTCTTATTGGGCTGCTTTCAAACAAGAAAGGAACAGGTAATCAGGTAATTTTGCCCTCACCCCAGAGTTCTTTGGCCTGTAATGACTCATTAAATGAGCTATTACATGCCAGGCATGTTATGATTTAATCCTCCCCACCACCCTAAGGTAGGTACAGTTCTTTTCCCTGTGTTAAAAATGAAGAAACCAAGACTTGGGTTAGTTTCTTGCCCACAGTTTAATACTCTCAGATAGCAAGTGATGGAGCTCAGATTTGAATCTAGGACTCATGACAGCCAGCCTTCCCCACAAGGATTTCTCAACAAAACTCTATACAGAAAGTTCATATGACAGTCTTTGCCCAGGAATCCTTGTTGGTCCCGGATCTCAGTATCATATGTACCATTCCTAGCTTAGAGCAGAGCGAAGGGCAGTCTCTATTTACCATAGTAAGTGCTACCTCAAAGAATTCCAGGGCCGAGGACCAGGTGAATCCTGACAAGCCTTTTGAGGTTCCTCTTAAACTATTTTACAGACTATTAAAGTCAGTAAAGAGAGGATTAAGGTAAACTTGAAGCATTTGCCCCATGGGTGTACAATTGGAGGGTAATATGGAGAAAGCAGAGGTAAATTTACAAACTGTTAACAGTGCAATGTGATATGATGCGAACTGAATTGGACCATCTTAAAAATCTCTACTATAATTAGAAAATGCCATTTTTCAACAAAAGTTGGAAATAATGGAAAACCAAGTTAAGTAAATATCTATGGGTACTTGGCCTCAAAGTGTGTCTGGAGGGAATGGAGACAGTTTACAGAATGTGGGATTTGCTGGAATTACTTTTGGACATGAAATCTCTGTCACCACTAATGGTGGAAAAGTCTTACTGTATTCCCAATAAGTTTCCTGGTACCCCTAAAGTTAAAAGAGAGAAGATCTACCCCTGCATTTGGCCGCCTTCTCCCCCATTCTTATAGAAATGAGAGCAGATTACCAACTGACCCACGGCAAAAATTTACAGCATTTTTTTCTTGGACAAAATTTTTTTAAAAACATTAAATATGATATTCTCTCTCTGTTCCCAAAAGGGTGGTATATTTCAGAGTGTGAATTTCTGTTTTGAAGCAGAATTTACCTACATAAGTCCTAAGCATAGACAGATTATTTATTTGAGAATTTATGTCTCTTGACAATTAGCTTCTCCATGTAAGTGGCCACTTTTTATGATAAGCTCTTTATTTGAGCTAGCTCCAGTGCTATAAAACACTTACACTATGTTATAGTAAAATGAGAAAAATAAAAAGTTAGGAATGAAGAAAATTGAGACACATTCTTTTCTTCTGAAGATAGAGTAAAGCCAACATTTATTAAACTGTATTGCAGTTGGACAGCAGACATTTCTCCACATTTTCAGCCTCAGCCTTTGTCCTGCCCCACTATGCACTATCTGTAC